GGGTGGAAAGGAGGAGTGTGCTGTCACAGTATAGGGAGAGCAATTAGGGTCACATAACAATGTATGTATAAATTTTTGTATGAGAGACTAACTTAAATTGTAAACTTTCACTTAAACTACAACAATAAAAAAATAGTTACTGATTCAAAACATTATGAGGACACATAAGGAGTGTGGTTAATTCTGCTATATTGATGAAAGTGAGTGAGGAGAAGGGTGCAAGTGTCACAGCTCTGGTGAAATTTACTTTGTATCTTGAAGGATGAATTTACCTGGCAGATAAATGTCTTAGTGGTGATTGAACTAAAGTTACGAGCTGAAACAGCAAAACAATGCAAGTTAAAATGTGGATTGAATGAAGAATTTACTATTCTTTTCCTCTCTATGGGCAATAAATTAGTTTCCTAATGAATGATTTTTGGCCTTTCATCAGAAGCCACTATATCCTGTAAACTATATTAGGGTCACTTAATTGTTGTTGTTGTCGTTGGGTGCCATGGAGTCTATTCCGACTCATAGCGACCCTTTGTACAACAAGAAACGCTTCTCAGTCCTACGCCATCCTCATCATGGTTGCTACGTTTGAGCCCATTATTGCAGCCACTGTGTCAATAATGTGCTATTTAGAAAAAAATCTCCAATAGATACAAGGCCAAAAAAAAAAAAAAAGAATTGCAGAATGATTTGTGGTAATCTGATATTTGAAGAAGATAAGTGAATTACAATCTACTGAGAAACAAAATGTTTGTAGGACAGAACGTTAACACTTGGCTATCCAAGTCCAAAGGAGAAATACAAGACAGACACTATACCCATGCAAACAATGAAATGTAGTTGTTCGAACACACATACCAGTATTTAATTCATCCTTTCTGAAGAGACGCAGAAGGTGCTAATGCATATTAAGGTATATTACTGTTGTGGTTGTTGTTAGGTGTCACTGAGGGGCTTCCTGTGTACAAAAATCCTTCCATAGCGACCCTGTGTACAAAAGAACTAAACACTGCCGGGTCCTGTGCCATCCTCACGATTGTTGCTATGTTTGAGCCTACTGTTGCAGCCACTGTGTCAATCCATCTCGTAGAGGATCTTCCTCTTTTTTGCTCACCCTCTATCTTACCAAGCATGATGTCCTTCTCCAGGGACTGGTCCCTCCTGATAACATGTCCACAGTATGTGAGATGAAGTCTTGCCATCCTTGCTTCCAAGGAGCACTCTGATTGTATTTCTTCCAAGACAGACTTGTTCATTCTTCTGGCAGTCCATGGTATATCCAATATTCTTTGCCAACACCATAATTTAAAGGCATCAATTCTTAAAATGTTATTACATTTTACACCGTTAATAAATAAATATGACTTCAAACTTAAAAATTGATTTAGTCATTGTAATTGGGAATGCATTGCCTCTCAGGAATAATGTGATTGATATTAGTGATTTCTCATAGCCGTCCATGAAGGACTAGTTAAAGGCACTGGACCACACTACTGATGGTCCTACAGCTCACCTCTTCCCCCCATCCTGCATTATTGGACACCTTCACACATCTACACAAGATGAGGGTAAGAGTGTAGTGTTTATGCACATCAGAAAATGATCAGGGCTCAGAAAGTTTGGGTTCTAACGCCAACACTGCTAATATATAGTTATCTGGCCTTAAGTGAATCATTTAGCCTCCATATGTTTGGGTTTCCTCATCAATTAAATAATTTACGGAGAGTGATGAATCCTCCTGAAATTTTATAAAAAGTAAATGTGTGTCGGTATAATTTTCTAGGGAAGGACCTGGAGTCACTAGTTGGATTAAGTTTCTGGTGTGTCCCAGTTTTGACCACCAGGGTGTAGGAAGTAAGGGAGAAGACCTCTGCCTCTAGCTGAACTTGGGACGACCTCCAAGTAGGAAGGAAGCCTTGTCGAAGGGCAGCCAAACAACACTGTCAATCGCTGTAGCTTTCACCAGATTCTCAAAGGGACCATGACACCAACACTTCTGCCAAAAAAAGATTATGAATCACTGCATTAGATTATCTTTAATTACAGCCCTGAAATTATATGATTCTAAATACTAATTTCTCTTTCCTCCATCATCCACCAACTCCGAATTTCTTTAACGAGACACATAGAATGACTAACGTTAGAGGGTCAGCCCTGAAGCAGCTACCATCTTTTCAGTGGGTTGTGTAATTAGAATGGTTGGGCTAATGACAGAGAATAACAGATGCCTAGGAGTGCTGTCACCCAGCTGAATTTCTGGCAAACCAGTACCGATTCCTCCAGCAAAAGGAATTTACTTTCCCATAGAGCCTCCTGATGCTCCATTATGAGTATGTTAAGATGCAGTATGTCTCAGTGGTTAGGTGCACAGACTTAGAGGCAAGTGAGCATGGAAATGACTTTTGAATGTATCCTTTATTAGTTGGGTCACCATGGAAAGTTACATGGCCTCAATCAGTCTCAGTTTAATAATAATAATGCTAGCTAATGTGTGGTATTATGAAAACAAAATGATATAATGCAAGGAATGATAGTGTTCGACACTTTGTTACCGCTCAAGAAATAACGCTGGAAGTCATTATAATGATAATAGTTAAGAGATTCCAAAACTATCCAAACTTGTTCTAAAAAAAAGATGTTTACTTTTTAAGTCGAGAATAATAAAGATATTTAGATCATGTGTTTGACATATGTTCCATGTTAAAACTAGGTCTATGACCTATAAAATTGCCTTCAAATAATCACCAAAATATACAACCTGGAAATGTATCTGCAAACGTTTTTCTCATGCAGCAGATAGAGCTGAAATAAAAATATTTAAAAAATCACCACATAATGCTAAATTACGTTAAATATATAAAATTGAATCAGTTATGTTAAATAAACCCATTGCCACCGAGTCAGTCCTGACTCATAGTGACTATGTTAAATAGTGTCATCAAAATAAGCTGAATATGAGATACCAGAAGGTTTAACAGCTGAATTATTCTTCAAAGATGAACGAAACCAAAAAATAGAGAGTAGCAAATATAAAGGACTTCTGAGCCAGCAATGGTCATTTCAACTCCTGACCTCCTGGGCATTTATGCTTGATCTTCAGTTCACCCCTGCTGGCACGGTGGTTAAGAGCTCTGCTGCTAACCAAAAAGGTCAGTGTTCGAGTTCACCACTCGCTGCTTGGAAGCCCTATGGGGCAGTTCTCTGTCCTGCAGGGTCGCTGTGAGTCAGAATCAATGCGATGGCAATGGGTTTGGTTTGGTTTTTGGGTTCAGTTCACCCTAAGGCGGTAGAAAATATTACTTGTGGAACTATTATCAGGCACAGACTAGAACTGGTCTGGGAGGCTTTGGTTTAATTGCATGTTGGTTCCTTTGAAGGCCTTCCTGATTCTGCTAATCTCCTAAAGAGTGTGCTGTCTCTTTATGTTTTTCAGGTAAATGTGAGTGTGGTAAATGCACCTGCTACCCTCCAGGAGATCGCAAGGTGTACGGCAAGACGTGCGAGTGTGACGATCGTCACTGTGAAGATCTCAATGGTGTGGTCTGTGGAGGTAGCAATTCGCACAGCCTTATTTATGCCACCTGCATGCTGTCTGTTTCACCTCCCTCTCTTGTTCTGCTTCTCTCTCTTTTTCTTTTAAAATTTGTTGTTACAAAGAAGATAAACGAAAAGCTGTTTGCAATTAAACCTAAAAGCAATATACAGTTAGGTTTGTAATGACCTTTATTTTCTTGAACTCTTGACTTAGGGGTATATGTTGTTGTTGTTAAGTGCCGACAAGTGGATTTCAACTCATAGTGACCCCATGTGACAGAGTAGAACTGCTCCATAGGGTTTTCTAGGCTGTAATCTTTACCAGACCAGATCACCAGGTCTTTCTCCCGAGGAGCCACCGAGTGGGTTCAGACTGCCAACTTTTGGTTAGCAGCCGAATGCTTAATCGTTGGGCAACCAGGGCTGCTCAGGGCTATATAGAAAACTACATAGTTCCAAAAACCAAACCTGTTGCATTCGAGTTAATTCTGACTCATAGCGATCCTATAGGACAGAGTAGTACTGCCTGATAGAGTTTCCAAGGAGCGGCTGGTGGATTAGACTGCTGATTTTTTGGTTAGCAGCTGAGCTCTTAACCACAGTGCCACTTATCTATAAAGATGGTTGTGTCTAAACCAAGTACTATAAAGACAGTAAGAGGTTTTGCTGCGTCTGAATAGCATAACATGATTTTTATTACTCTGTTTGTAAACACTGTTGGAAGAAAGTATCACCCAAAAACTAAAAAAAATGAAAAAGGCAATAAGAATGTACCCTAATTTTAAGTACACTATCACAAGTGAGCTACAGTAAGTTTCCATGAGGGCTGTCAGACCCAAACCAGAGTTTACTGAAAGTATTAAACTCTCCAAAGAAAGAATGAGGCAGCTAGAGAGTAGTCAAGGAAGGTAAGAGAAAAGTGAGGGTACAGAGGTAGACCGCTGGCAGTGTCTACCTGAGCCTCACCCAGGGCAGAGAAGGTGGGTCGACATTCTTCTATTTCAGTCCTGGAAAGACTTCTTACTGTACAGACTGGGGCATGCTGATTACAACTCTTTCCAGATTTCCAGCACAATTGAGGTGAACTTGAGATGGAACCATATTAAAATAATATACATATATCTCTTCAAGAAAATTATCACAATGAACTTGAGCACTATTATTGGGGAAAATAAATCAAAACACGTGTACTGCTTATGAACGGTGGGGACACTGTCTGTCTCAGACTTCTACCCAACCTCTGTATATGTCCATCTATCTATCCTCTCTCTAACCAACCATAAAACACTTCTGGTTTGACCAAAAATCTTTTCTTCTTTTCTTTCTGTATGAGCAAATGGCAAAGGCTCTTTTTAGTAAATGCCGCGCCAATTCTTTATCTCATGCAGTCCTCATGACAGCAGCCCTAAGAGATTGCTCGTGTTTCTTCATTTTACAAATGGAAAATGGAATGAGACTCGAGGGGTTCAAGAACTCCCAACATATCCCATAACTAGGATTTCCACAAGGCACAATATACTTTGTGAAAGTTCGTGTATTTCTCAGTCTGTCTAAAAATACCCATTATTACCAAAAAATTTTCTTTCTCCTTATTTAGTATAATCCACATTGTGTATATGTTATTGTTAGTTGCTAATGGGTGAATTCCAACTTAAGGCCACCCCATGAGTGCAGAGTAGAACTTCTCTACAGAGTTTTCAAGGCTGTCACCTTTCAGAAACAGATTTCCAGGCCTTACTTCCAAGGCAACTCTCGGTGAATTTGAACTGCCAGCCTCTTGACTACTAGTCCAGCACTTAACAATTTGTGCCACCCAGGCACTCTTCATTATGTATATAGCATGTAATAATTAAATTAACAGTTATTCTTTGCATACTTATTCCATTTAAGGCATTCCACTATCCCCCAAACACATACATGGCCTGGTTGAGGGTCTTCCTCTCTTTCGGTGACCCTCTACCAAGCATGATGTCCTTCTCCAGGGACTGGTCCCTCCCGATAACATGTATAAAGTACATGAAATGAAGTCTCACCGTCCTCGCTTGTAAGGAGCATTCAGAAATACTTTTGATCTCTTTGATGCCATTACCTCTGACTTGTATACCTGCATTCATCTTGATTAAGTCTTAAAAACATGGAAACTTGCTCTCTCCTCAATCACTCCACATAATTGACTCTCATGAAGTCACTAATAATTCCTAGTTTTCTAAACCGTGGGTGATTTTCAGTTCTCATTCTACATAACCTCTTTTAGGATGGAGTTGTAGTTACTCCTCACTGCAACTCCCATGACATGTTCTCCTACCTGGATTTCAGAGGTACCTTCTCCATCCATTTCTTCTCTCACTTCTCCCATACTTAGTGAATTACTTTTTCCTGCTCATCTCTCAGAGCTTACCAATAAATCTTAGTATTTCCCTGGAAATAACTTTTGTCTATCTTTTCTGTCTGCTGTATGCCACCCTTAAGTAATCCCAGCCTCTTCTGCTTTTATTTCTAGATCAATGTGTCCCAAGTTGACTTCTTAGCATCAATTATTACCTGGCTTCAAACTCTTCTTTTTAATTTCTAATTAAATATTTCAATATGTAAATGTATTCAAACTCTGCATGTTTTAAGCTGGAGTACACACTTATTCCTTTATTTTATCAACAAATACTCATAGAGCACTTACTATTTGCCAGAACTGGAGATTCAGTGTTGTCCAGTACAGAGTGTCTCCTGTGTATTGGACAACACTGAATTTCCAGTGTACCAAGGTGCCTACTCTTGCAGAACTTACAGTTAAGCTTGAAAGAAAGACATTGACAAAAGGATGACAATGAGGTGAATGATATGAAAGGAGAAGCCCCAGTTAAATGGGAACATACATAACAGGGGATTTAACATAGACTGGGGGCCAAGAAAGTCTTCCCTAACATGCGTGTTAAGTCCATATCTGGATAATAGCAAAACTTAATACCTATGATGCATAATATGCACTTTACATATTAACTCAAGAGTCACAACAACCCTGTTGTTGTTATTGTCATTTGTAGTCCAGTGGATTTCAACTCATAGGGAGCCTGAGTGACAGAGTAGAACTGTCCCCACAGGATTTTCTTGGCTGTAATCTTTATGGAAGAATATCACCAGGTCTTTCGTCTGCGAAACTGCTGGGTAGGTTCAAACTGCCAGCCTTTCGATTAGCAGCCAAGTGCTTAACCGTTTGTACCACTAGGAATTCTTACTCAGTGATAATAGGATACACAGACCATAGCCAGTTGAAGGGAGTTGGGGAGTGGGGCACATCAGTCAGAGGGAACAGGGTGTGCCAAAGCATATTGGTAAAATGGAGAGTATGACACATTCAAACAACACTGATGACCCGAGGGAAACCGTTCACGATTGGAGATTAGAAAGCAAAAGGGTAAAAGATGTGATATATTTTGTAAACCATGTTAGTGATTTTGGGATCTCTGTGCTGAGACCTTCCTAGACCCAGGAGACAGAGAGAGAGCTGTAACACTGCAAACAGCAAGATGGCGAAAGCAGCAGCAAAGAAATAGCAGCAGCAGAGGCAGCAGAACCGGGAGACCCACAGGAGACCCGCAGGAGATGGCATGGTGGGCTTCCCAGCTCACAGAGTGAGAAAGCTGAGCACCTTCGGGCAAGAGGCTTGCTGGTAGAGTAGGGTGCCTCTAGGCACTCGGTGAGCTAGGTTTGCCAAATCACAAAGCTACAGCTGAGTACCTTCTGGCCGAGGCTTGCTGGTGGAGTGGGGTACCTAGGGGGCATTTATTGACAGAGCTAAAAGAGCTTTGTTAACACTTGCCCCCTCAGGGCAGAGGCTGTGGGCATGGTTGAGAAAAGGCTGTCCTGATGGAAGAACTATATCCTTAGTGTATCTGAACCTTAATTGTAACCTGTTATGTTATTAGGTGCCGTCGAGTCACTTCCAACTCATAAAGACCCTGTGTACAACAGAACAAAATACTGCCCAGTCCTGTGCCATCCTCACAATCTTTGCTATTCTTGAGCCAATTGTTGCCGCAACTGTGTCAGTCCATCTCATTGAGGGTCTTCCTCTTTTTTGCTGACCATCCACTTTACCAAGCATGATGTTCTTCTCCAGGGACTGGTCCCTCCTGATAACATGTCTAAAGTACGTGAGACAAAGTCTCGCCATCCTTGCTTCCAAGGAGCATTCTGGCTGTACTTCTTCCAAGACAGATTTGTTCGTTCTTCTGGCAGTCCTTTGTATATTCAATATTCTCTAACACCATAATTCAAAGGTGTCAATTCTGCTTCGGTCTTCTTTATTCATTGTCCCGCTTTCACATGCATATGAGGCAATTGAAAATACCATGGCTTGGGTCAGGCACACCTTAGTCCTCAAAGTGACATCCTTGCTTTTCAACACTTTAAAGAGGACTTTTGCAGCAGATTGGGAGCCCTGGTGGCACAATGGTTAAGAGCTCAGCTGCTAACCAAAAGGTCAGCAGTTCAAATCCACCAGCCACTCCTTGGAAATCCTATGGGGCAGCTCTACACTGTCCTGTAGGGTCACATGAGTTGGAATCGACTAGATGGCAACTGGTAACCTGTTACTTCCCTAGTAAACCCCATAATTGTGAATATGGTTGTGAGTTACGTGTGCCCACTGCAATGAATTATTGAACTCAGAAGAAAAGTAGAGAATGCCATGGGAGGGACAGTTGGTGTTAGAATTGGTAAAGACGGCCGAGAGAGGAGGCATGTCTGACCTCCATCTCATAGGAATCAGCCTTGGGTTGCTGATCTTGATTCTTCTTTCCCCTTGTGAAGTTGGAGGAGGTTAGACGACTCCGCTGCCATGCGGTTTTTACGGAAGTGTAAATGGCTGATGGGGATGTCATGCTTTGGGCTTCCATGAGTACTGTGACTCTTGCAACAGGCAGGTCCCTTGTAGGGTCCCTGGAAGCTATGATTAAAGAGTCATTACGAGAGATATTGGCTCTTGTGAGGCATGGAGGTTTTTCTAAGTCAGAGAAGTTC